GGAAAGTTTTTTTTTTTTTTTTTTTTTTGTCTTTTTTTGTGTCCGGCAACGGATCGCAACCCTCAGTGTCGCACCCGCACCGGACCGGGACCGGCAACGGGATCGCAACCCCCGGCGTTGCTCCCACACCTCGCTCAGCCAGTGAGTGGGAACCGGTCTGTATGTGGGATCCGAACCCTCGGCGGGAGCGCCACCACGCCCCCAAGCGGTGCACTGTAGCAGTGCGCCACCGGGCCGGCCCAGGAAAGTCTTTTTAACAGAACAAGAAATATTAACTATAAAGGGAGACTTGTCAAACAATATGTTACTAAACTAAGAGCTTCTACTGGTTTATAATTCTTTCATACATTTTTAAAAGCTGTTAAGCAATATCTCCTAAAGCTGAGTATATGTAAAATATGACTCACCACTAAAAATATATCCCAACAGAAGTTCATTCATGTATCATCAAAACATGTTGCAGAACTTCAGTGAAAGCACTATTCATGACACCCCATATTTAAATATGCTCACATGTTCATCAAGAGAGTAATACTTAAAAATTAATTGTTTGATATTCACACAATTGAATTCTACCACCACCAATGTGTGAAAATGCAAGTAAGTTTTAAAACAGGGATTTTAAAAGCCAGATATAAAACAATTCATGCTGTGTACTTCCATTTATATAAGGTGAAAGTGATCTATGCTGCTGGATGTCATAATAGTGAATATTACTGGGGATAGAATTTGGGAAGGGTAGAAAAAGGCATCTGGAAGGCTGACAATATTGTTTTCAGATATAGGAGCTGCATGCAGAGGTGTGTTAATTCTGTGAAATTTTATTGAGCAGTACAGTGCACGCCTGACTAGTGCATTAAATTTTTTTAAAAATACATGTCAGCAATTAAAAAGTCAGCTTGACAAAAGTAAGTAGACTGGTATTCAATGCCTTATATTATCAGGGTGGAAGTTAAAGGTATTAAATAATTTTATACTGTGATTAGTTTTTCAAAATATGTTATAATTTCCAGGTTGAAATCTAAGAGATACTAAACATACATCACTCAAACAAAGAGGGAGATACAGAATTGTGGAAATAAATTAACACAAAAGACATCAACATAGAAAGAAAAGAAAAGAAAACAGATGTCATAAAGAGCACATAAGTTGGTAAATGCTTCTGAAATATGCCTATAATTGTATGAAACATATAATATTAATTTCTCCTGTTAAAGTCAATTATTGTGTGAGTATATTCATTTGGATATTTCTTTAAAATATATAGCTGAGACCTAAAAATAAATGTAAAAAAAATACTTTCCATCTATTTCACAAGTTAATCAGCTAGAACAGCAAGAAAATGTAAAATAGATTTTATGTTAAAGCAGTTTGTCATTGTTGAAATTAGTATTATTTTTTAGTCTGAAATTTACATTTTGATGTCCAATTTTCCAGTATTTTTGCTTGATGAATAATAAACATATTCTAAATAATACACCATGTACATGCACACATACATATACATATATACACATGCACTTATTTATAATATACAAATGTATGTGTGTATATATCACTACTTTCTTGTGAAATGACTGTTCATAATTACATTTACAATTATTTGGGGATGAGTGAATAAAGAGCTGTACAATATGCAAAAGCTTTCAATTTATATTTTTCTTATAAAATCAGGGGTTTTTCTATTCCTTACCCAGGCAAAGCAGAGCCTGGATGCACTGAAGTCACACCTCAGGAGCAGAAAGGGGCTGACGGCTGGAAAACACCCAGCAAATAGAGCAGCACTATTCACCAGGAATGAGTTGGGATTATTAATAACAGACAAACAAACCTGAAACATGCAGGAGAGGATATAAAAGTAGACAAAGGTGCTCACCAGCAAAAGGATGTTTTTGGTAGCTCTAGACTCAGGGGAGGACCTGGGGGAGGCATTGGTCCTGTGAATGTGTTGAACCCGCTTCTTGTGCCTGTACAGGATGAAAACCATAAAGCTGGAGGCCCAGAGCATGAGCCCCAGACACGAAACATCAAGGAATGACAGCAGTGCTGCATACAGAATGTCTCTGGTTTTGCCATGAGAAATGGAAGAACAGTATCCAAAGTCTTTTTGGCTCGTGAAGTTTTTATTGCTCCATTTTCCAGTCACATACAGAGGAAAAATAACATTTGTAAGCATGTACAGGATCCAGCTTAGGTATATGGAGGACTGAATGTACTTGGGAGCTTTTACTTTAAGCTCTGCCAACCTAGAGATACTGGGGCTGATTGTGATGGCCTGGAAAACACTCAACAGGCAGGTGCTGCTGATGGACACTCCCCTGCCCACTCGGTGAAGATAGAAAAGAAGTTTGCATCCAAAATCACTGAGGAAATCTTTCAACCCAAAAGCTGCCATTGTCTGGGTCACTCCTCTACAGAGGAGCGTTAAGAAATTGGCTACACTGAGGTGCGTTAGAATCAAATCTGTGGACCTTAACTTGCACCCAGTGAAGTAAAGGAAGAGAAAATGGCAAAGAAGATGAAAGTTCCCCCAAATTCCAACCATAGTCTGTGATAAGAAGATGATTCCTATTGCCACATCACTGGCGGCCATCCCATCAGTCCCCAGCCTTCTGAGCCACGGGGTCCTGCATGTGAAGAGGCAGGGGCTAGAGGTATCATGCCGATGGAAATCCAGTAGTCTCCATTTACTGCTAGTTCCCTTTGACAAGTATTTACCTATTTTTTTTTTTTTTTGACTAAGAAGAGTCCAAGGGTTGAATGTATAACTTGTAAAGAGCACTAATAATGTATAAAGTGTTATGAAGGCACTTCACACGGTCATTTCTCCATTCTTCGTAATCCATGAGGCAAACAACAGTAGGACTTCACTCCTAAGGAGAAGGAGAATTTAGGCACAGAGAGGTGAAGTATTTGTCTAAATTCATACACTTGTTAGGGGAAGTGGGGTCTTGGACTATCCAGGTGGTAACAAAGAGAATGCAGTGAACCACCACGGTCTAGTAAAAAGCTAGTTGTCTCTGTTCTGCAATAATCCAAATCTATATTTTTGTTTTACACATTGACATTTTCCTTTAGATTGATGGTATTTCATACTTTTTGTTCAAATGAGCTTCCATTTGTAAAGATTTATTCGAAGGCCAATATCAATTATGAGGGTAACTTTAGACATCTTAATCAATGTCGATGCACTGATGACAATATAATAACTACAGTAACCTGCCCTATAACAAGTCATCTGTAATGACGCAATAATAGCTTGACATCAGGACAGCTACAGAGTCATTTACTTTTATGTTAAGAACATATTTAAAATGGCACCTATCACAAGAATTATTGAAAATCACATGCCATGTACAGAACTTTGGCACATAAAACACCAACGAGTATGTGATGAAACAGCATAAGGGAGAAACAAAGTGATTAATTTCAGGACACATATCTATCTATTTACTAAGACGTGAGTTAAGTAAACTATTAGCAATGAAGCAAGATTTGTGAATGATATTAAAATAGCAACCATATATGAAAAATGGCAGATGGATGCTGTATAATCTTTTGCATTTAAAAATTTGAAACAGCAGATTTGGGGCCATTATTAGAATATATATATATTTAACAGACTTATCATTCAGAGCAGTTTTAGGTTCACAGTAAAATTGAACAGAAAGTAATTTCCCAGGTAGCCCCTGCAAATACGCCTTCACTTTCAAAGCCTCCTTCACTTTCATATTCCCATACCAGTGTGGTACAATTGTTACAAATGAGGAACATGTTATTAACAGGTGAAAACAATATGATATATTTCTGACAGGTGCTGTCAAAAACTCAAAAACATGATATTAAGTTTTCCTTAAATGATCCTTATCTAGCTTTTAGAGAGAAATGGCCTCACCGTAATCATATACTAGTGATGTTTTCGTATTGATATAAAATTACTGTTTTCATTAATCACATCATAAACCCAGACTCAGAGACAACTTTCTATTTAAGAAATTACCATTCAGATGCACTTTCTATATAAGACTAGATGGTTCCCACTGATTCTATCTACACTTTACTAAAAGCATGGAGACATCACAGGCACACCTCTAGTAATCCTGAAAATTTACTTTGGGTTCCCTGGAATGTAGGCTGAACAGCAGATTGATTTTAGAACAACATCTTTAAAATCTTAACACCTTAAAAATCAGTTTTTATTATTAATCAGATTAAACCACCACAATCATTGTCAGTGAGGATTACATTAAATTAAGATAGGAGCCAACAGAAATTGGTGAAGAAACTAGACCCTCATTTCTCTTTAGCAGCCAAGCCCCTTCCCCAGGAATATTTTCTCTCTCCAGTGAGGCTTTAGACTTGATAAGGTTTAATCCAGAAGAATCCCTTTTTCCCATATGATCACTTATTCAGACTCTTGACATGGGTTTTCATTTACAGACTCTGCCTCTAACACCAAAATAGAAAATACTCACCGACTCTTTCTCTTTAACAGAGTGGTGAGCTCTGTGTGATGATCACTGTGGCCAGTGATTGTGTGGGAAGGAGGCAGCCAGACCTTGAAATATGGCTTTTGTGATTTTGTGACCTCACCTCCCTTCAGAACTGCAATTATCATCTCACCTGTGGTAGCAATGGGAGTGCAGGCTTGTGAGCTAAAAATATTTTTGAAAACTATTTTCACAGTTGGTAATTATGAGAACCAATTACAAGTTTCTCGCTAGTATTTCTTTCTTTCTTTTTTTTTTTTTTTTTTCCTCCCTTCAGAACTGCAATTATCATTTCACCTGTGGTAGCAATGGGAGTGCAGGCTTGGGAGCTGAAAATATTTTTGAAAACTATTTTCACAGTTGGTAATTATGAAAACCAATTACAAGTTTCTCGCTAGTATTTCTTAAGGGACTACTGGAGTATTTGTGAGAGGCTCTTACTTTTTTATGATTCCTAGAGGCAGACAGGGTCTCACATGGAGGGATGCAGGAAACACTGAGGTCTGGTAGGTAAGGGACTGGCAGTGACGTATTGTAAGTCCCATTGTTCTTTGCTTCCCTGAGAAGTTGTTCTGCTCAAAGTCTAATTCTTGACCATTTTTTATTTTACTGACCTGCACCATCATACAAGTTAATAGCACTGAAATACAATGAGACAACACCTTGGAAGGATGTTCAAAGAGATGAAAGTAAGTAAAGAACACGATGCTGATCATTTATACTGGATATCATTGCACTCATCTCCACAAATCCAACTCAATTAATTTGGATGCATTTTTTATAATTCAACACCAATTAATTTAGAAATTTTGTAAGAAAATCTTTTTTTTATCATTCTTGAACCCCATTAGTAACAGGAAGTAGACAGGACAGTATTCATAGAAGAAACAGAAAGTTATAAAAGAGTCACTCACCAATAAATACAACAGGATCAGATGTTTTAACAAATCAAGTCTACCATTTCTCTATCAGATAAGATACCACTACTTAATTTAAGAGTATCAAATAGATACCACAGAAAACAGACTCCTTTCCATGATTTGTAATTCTTCCAACCCTGCAATAACCTAACAAGGACAATATTTACAATATATAGTCTTAAAAGTTAATGTGAGCTTCACCAACTTGAGTCAAAACCTGTGGTCAGGAAGTGAGAGTGCTTGGGGGGAGTTACACATCGTTGTGTAAAAGAAAGAGATGAAAAAGAGAAAACAGAAAAGGGTGGCTTAGGAACAAGATGGTGGTGCAGATCTTGGATTGTTGAGGGGACAGAGAGAGCAGGAGAAGAGAGAAGGCAGAGAGATAAACAGAAAAATGTTGTCAAATACCAAAAAAGGGCCAAAGTGTATTGCCAGGTTTGAGGAGACAAGGGGGCAAAATGTCAAGGAAAGTTAAGGGTAAGGGGCCTAGTAGATGCTGGGGAAATAGGGGTGAGTGGTGTCATGGGAATGAAGGGGCCGATAGGGATAGGAAGCTGTGAGGAAAACGGAGTTAGTTTGGTCAGGCCCCCTCGCCTCATATCTGGCTGGGTGTGATTCAGCACATCCTCTGTAAACAAGTTACGTGAGAGTAGAGTTAGTGCACATGCACGCCCAGGTACCCCGTGGCATGTTGCCACCATTTTGTGTACTCTTCAGTATGGAAGGCGGCTGCTCTGAACCGCTGGTCGGCAGAGCTCGTATCTAAAAATAAAGCACGTCCACTTTGCCAGTGGCTGCTCAGTTTGTCTTTCAAATACCTGGCTCAGGACCTACACAGGATGGGGTAGAAGAGTCTGTGATCCAGCCCGACAGAAGTCAATGGGCAAAAGTGGTAATGGTCAACGGTTGGTAAAAGTCACAGGAGATTTAATGTCTATGAGTTATTAAAAGACATGGTTAGGGGGACTAAGGGGAATGTGTGTGGGGTAGGGAGATCCTGGAAGTAGATTGTGTGGTCCAAGACAGGTATAAAGTGTGGGAAAACAAGGTATAGCCTGGGAGAGATAAAGAGGATGAGTGAGCTAAAGTGCCCAGGAGAACTAAGAGTAGCAAAGGCAATCCAAGAAAAGCTGAGTTAAAGGATGTGTACTACTAGATTTCAAGACTAATTATGAGGCCACAGTGACTAAAACCATGTGGCATATGAGTAGGTGCAGAATAGGCAAAGACATCGGAGGAACAGAAGAAAGGGTCTTGATTTAGGTCTACACATATAAAAAATAATAATTACTACCGTTATTATTATATGTCCAGGAGAAAGAGTCAGAAAAAAATAGGGTTGGGTGTGATGGGTTTGGGGTGTGGATTGGGTTCATGGGCAGTTGAAGATGCTTGAGAATTGAGATTTGGACATTTGGTGGTGTGAGGCATAGAGGACATGAGGAATGTACTGAGATATTGAAATTGGAAGTGAATGTACAGCAAAGGATAAAGGTAATGAATGATTTGCAGGGGTGATGGAAGGTCAGAGGGTTGCACCGAGGTGCTTGGTATAGGGATCACAGAGGGAAAAATTTTGAAAAAGTCACAGGATTGAGGTGTGTTGTGGAGGGGAGGCAATATAGAAGTCTAGGATGGTTCGATGGAGGCGAGGAGTGGGTGGGATTTAGTAGATGGCTAAAACTCACAGGTGGAGGGATGAAGGATACAGGGGGAGGGATAAATGTTGAGGGAGAGGAGGGATGGAGCTGAGGATGATGAAGGTGGCAGAGGGCAGGTTGGAGGCCACTATTTGATTTCCCTATTTATTAATTCCCTCATTTATGGTCAAATCTCAACAGTCATGGACAGTTTCTAATTGCAACTCAGGAGGCAAAAATCTTGCTTGTACAAAATTCCCCTGAAACCCCTAATATAGAACATACAGTAAGGACCAACATTTAAAATTTTGGGTAAACAACACTCAATAGCATTTTTTCTCTTCCTTCAGTATGGCTGTCCAGGATGAGTCATTGGCAGGTCTGGCAGAAGAGGTTGTTTATTGGTATCTTGTATGCATGTGTTGGAAATAGGTGCCAGTCCATCCTGTCCCAACTTCTGCATAGTCTTGAAGAAATTTTACACCTCAACAACTTTTGAATCGCAGCACTGACAGAGTGAAAATTTATATTTTTTTGTTTTGG